GTACTTTAAAACCCAAGCAGAAGATGCCAGGCTTACTATAGACTGTAGTACATAAAATAAGAGATTAGTAAGGAAGCTATAAATAGTTATATTTTTGATGTGATAGGATTTTATATCATAAACCTTTTTAACATAGAACGAAAGAGATAATGGACAAAACTAGAAGGCTTAAGTATATCAATAAAATGTCTGTAGATGATACAATTTATACAAAAAATACAGTATGTGTAGTTAGTATGTTAAATTTTGCTCTTGTTATTTTGATGAAGAGGAAACTATTCCTTTTAAAAGCTCCTTGTTACTCAATGAAGATAGGTAACTCTAGCTTTGACTTTCATCAGTCACTCCTTTCCTGATCGTGATTCTCTAGCTTAACCGGTGTTTCAATAAAAAGATTATAAATTTCCCTCCTAACAGTATAAAAACATGGGCTTTTCTGTATTACTAGCAGGGACACATAAACTGGTCAATAATAAACATCCAAACCAGTCTCCTTAGGAATACTGACCTGGATTATGACATTCACTATTGCTGACTTCATGGTATTTTAAATATATTTATGTTTCCCAAGTATAAAGATTTCAGAGATATAAAACTGACAAACATAGTATCATACTGGTGACTACCAGGGTAAAGTTCTCTATGGTTGTCAATTTTGAGGCTCAAATATCTGACTCTCTCTTACTTGTTTTTCCATACACTTGTGATGACCTATGTCTGGCAATCCAGCATGAGACAAACCATTATAAAACAAGCCAAGGGGCTGCCAAACATCCAGCTATTAAAACAACAAAGCAGGGATATGGTGCAAAGATTGAATTTAATAAGACATTAAATTTTTAAAATAGTGATTCAGAAGGTTTCATGATAGTACAGAAAAGTAACTCATCACTCAAGCTGAGCAGACACAGAAAAACCCAAGAATTTCCATCACTTCTGAAAACCTAATTCTTGCAAATAATATAAGTCACTAACAATTCCAAAGTTACAAAAGTAAAAATGCTCCTTACCTTTCTGAGTTTGCTGACATATATATGTCAGTTAAGTGGTATGGTTTATTTGCCTCATGTACTTATCTCATCTACCTTTGACACAGTTATATGGGGAGATCCAAAACCATCTCTTACTTCTAATGACATCTCATGTACAGGTGGAACAAAACTGCCATCTCCTGGCCCCTGAATGGACTATAGGAAGAACTATGACCAGTCTGGTTATTTTATTGATTGGCAGTTTTTAGCCCACACATGGCAATTTTGGGCAAAAGAATTTACATTGTATATACTGACCAATACTACCAATAGTAGTTATTGTATTCCTTTACAGTCATGATGATATATAAATAATTTTACTATCTCTTCATTAAACATTATTCATATTATATGGTACTCAGACAATAAGTTGAAGCTTGGCTTCCCCCCAAATCTTGGGAAAATGGACAGGATACTCACCCCTTCAACAAATTACCTCAAAACTTGAACATATCAGATAAAAGTGTGTTTTGGGCATTCTATTTTTTTTTAATTTTAAAGAGAATAAAGTCAAATAAAATCAAAACAATGAAAGTGATATAGCACTTAAAAACAAGATAATATGAAATCAACAATGGTTACCATGCCTCTTGGTATCTTCAAAATACCAACCATCAGACATAATAAATTCAAACAAAACAAAACGGAATAAAACCAAACCAAACAAAACAACGACACTGATACAGAACTTCAAAACAAGATGACAGGAAATTAAAAATGGCTACCATGATACCTCTTAGTATCTTCAAAACAGCTGTCTAGACCATCAGACATAGGAATGCAAAATTAACCAAACAATACAAAACCCAATTTGCTTCTTTACTTCAGTTGTTATCTTTTCAGAAATTTGTGACTTTTAATTTCTCCTATGTCTGTGTCTCTTGACTTTATTTTGTTGTATTCATGTATTGAGCTTATTCATTTACTGGACTAGGCACCTTCATTCTTCCCATCCAGGAGTGGTAAGAGGCCTGGTGGTGGTTCATCAATGCTCCTTCAAAGCCAGTGAGGCGTTGGAGCATTTCTCCAGGCCCTCGCTGGGCTTGCTGGATTCCTCTGGCCCACAGTCATGGAATCTCATGACATGAATTCTTCCTTTTAACTCCACTTGTTCACAGGTTTGGTTTAACCCTGATATTTCTTTGATGGTTTTCTATCTACTTGATTTGTCTTTCTGTGCCATTGAGGTATTGAGGTCTCCCATTACAACTGTGTTATTGCTCATTTGATTTTCCATGTCTACTAAAAATTGTCTTATATAGTTGGGTACTCCTGTATTAGGTATAATATTTGTGATTGTTATGGGATTTATGCTGTCTTCAATTTTCTCACTGACCCTAATCAATCTTGTGTTATTCCTTTTGCTTTATCTTGTAGGTTTTTGGATTAATTTCTCATGGCCTCTTGCTATTTTTGAGATATCTTTTCACAATCACTAGCTATAATTCTATGTTCAAGATCTGAAATTCTATTAGGGAGAATAACGTATAAGAGTCATAAAGTGTTGTGCTATATAATAAGCTTATCTAAATATTTTTAAATTTGTCCTCATGAATTTGTCAGGTTTGCAACTGTCAACTTTTTAGAGTGACCAGTATTTCAAATACCTTCCAAAAGTTTAAAGAATTTGAAATGAGTTTAGAGACCTTTATTGAAGAGATGATTTATTTAAGAATCCAAAGCATCAACCATAAAATTTTTATAATAAACACCTTTTTCTATTACTAGGTTAAAAAAAAAATCTGAAATTCTATCCTTTAGTTCATTCAATCTATTGCATATAATTTCAACGAAGGTTTTAATCTCCTGGATCTCTGTTTATACCTGTTTTAGTGATTCCATTTCTCTCCTATGTTGGACATTTTTTGTTTCCACCTTTTTTTAAGCTCATGTATTTGTTTTTTCTATTATCTTTGTTTTTAAGCAACATTTTTTTTTTTTTTTTGTACCGAGACATTATTTTCTCCATAGTCTTTTCCACTAGTTTTTTGGCTTCTGTCATTATCATTTCAGAAATTTCCAGTTTTTGACTTCCAACTTCATCCTCCTCAGTTTTAGGCCTGTTCTGGGTGAACTGGGGGACTGGGGCTTCTCCCAACCTCTGCATTTAGCTATTCTCTACCTTCTCTTTTTTTATTTTGTCTTCTATGTTGATGCCCACCAATCTCCCATGATATAACCTTTACCAATACAATTGAGGCATCTCTCAAAGAGGAAAGGAGATGTACATTCCTCCAGGATGTTCCTGAGATGCAGTTAGTTCTTTATAAATATCCCAGGAACCTACCTTCTGGTGTTTACCATTTTGTGATAATGTCCATGTTATATCCCAGAGATGTGCTAGGTATGGAGTTGATCTTGGGCTCTGGATGTGGGGTTTGGCTCTGGTTGTCTGTGGGTGGATTTCTCCAGAGTTCCACTGATATCTCCTCACTGCTGCTTCAGATGCATCCACATTACTGGCCTCACTGATTATTTTACCTTCCACAGATGTGTTTCTGAGCACTGTCCTGGGTTTTGGGGTTCTTGTCAGTTTCTCATTCTTCCAGCTGGCCCTGCCATCCATGTGGGTAATGGAAGGGGCCAGGAGTGCAAATTCACTGTCTTCCAGCTGGCCCACCCTCTGGGATGTAATAGAGGGACACACAGCATGAACTCACTGTCTTCCAGCTGGCCTCAACATCAGGGATGAAATGGAGGAAGCACAAGACATGAACTCACTGTCTTCCAGCTGGCCCCACCATCAGGGATGTAATGTGGGCATTTTAAATGACACTGCTATGTTGCAGTTACACTGGTGACTGGTGTGGTCACCTAAAATCATTCCATTCAAACTGCTCAAACTATAAATAGCAATTTTTAAAGTGTTACCTCAGAATTATTGACAAATTAATATTTATAATGGAACTCTACAAAAACTAGATGCCTTTGAGGTAGAAGTCAGCTGCTTCAGTGAACACCAACAAGCCTGTTGGACATGCAGTTGGTTTAGTTGTGATGTTGGTTACTGTTCTTTGTAGAACATACATATCCATTTTAACCATTCAGTGACTTGGGAGAAAGTGTAATGCATGCTTCATAGTGCTTTTCTCAGATTTTAAGTGAGAGATTACTACAGGCAGACTTCATAAATTACAAATAGAAGCTCACAGTCAGGTATGGCAGTGCACAACTGTAATCCCAGCAGTTTGAAGGATACAGCAAGAGGATTACTCCAATTTCCTGGCAAGCCTAGGCTACATAATGAGTTCAAGGCCATGAACTACATAGCAAGACCTTGTCTTATATACGAAAAAACACACACAAATGGAAGCTTATGACATCACTTTCAATTATCTTAATGATTTTGCCTACTGGTTCAATCCTCCCCAAATTGCTTTCCTGGCCTCAATCTTAACATTGGGATTCTTATTAATATTGGAATTATCTTTTTTTTTAATAGTCCTCAAAGCCTTTTGTATGTTGTTCTCATGGATCCTTCATGCCAATGCCATGATGACCTTCTTGCATCAAGCCCGACACCTATCTACACCATATTTTTCTTTTTCTCCCCATCTCTGATTATGTAAAACAAAAAATAGTGAAATATGGGAGACATGGTTGATGAATGAATAGTTAAACAGCAGAGAAAAACATGTAGAGTCTGTGAGGGATGAACAGCTGAACAAAAAGTTTAGATTGGTGAAGTATGTTGTGGCCGGTTGCTGTCTTGCCCCTTTCCCAAAGAAAACTGCCTATCCTTGAGACAATTTCTTGCCCAAACTGCTTTACTTCTCATTTTTTTCTTACACTGATATTCTAAATAAAAGACGGAGAGTTTTCATCAATGGTGCTACTCTTGGGAGTCTCTCTAAAATTGGGTGCTCTCAGTTGGGAGAATCCCTCTGGGATTCTTGGTAAATGAACGAAGTCTTGTCTCAGTAATATTTCATTCTTTACACCATCATGGCTGCACACTGTGACAGTTACCTTCACTTGCTTCTGTGGCTCTGTGTCTCATGGCTCATCTTCCCCCTGGGTCTAACTCCTCCTGTACAGTGAAAAAGGACTTAATGAAATAAATTAGAAAGCCAAAAGGTCTCATTCCCACACCCTCCCAAAACTCCTGAGGAGGCTACCAAGCTATTTAAAAGGCAAAATGTCTGTACAATGTCTCTGGGATCTGCTGAGAGCTCAGGTAGTTATGGGGTCTTCTAAAATGACCGTTGCTCTAATGGGGGCTGATTAAAATCCAGGCATGGTCAGTTTGGGCATGCTGGAGAAAAAAGCTGTTCTCTGAAGGGGGGTTCAATAGAAACTTCAAATTGAGGCCATTTTTTCACAGTAGGGGCTACTTGGAACTCGAGCAATTTATAGGGCTACATACAGAGAGAAGTTAAACAATATTTTTATCTCATAAAAACAGAAAACTTTATAAAGATTTTGCTATTAAGAATAAACAAAGCAAAGCAAAACAAAACAAAAAAGCCAGTGGGTGTTCATGTCTGTAATCATGGCACTCTAAGAGGCTGAGGTAGGAGGATTGTAAAGTATAGCTTAAATTAGACAATTTAGTGCAACCCTGTTTCAAGAGGACTGGACATGGAGAAAGGATGAAAGACTTAGATTCAATTTCCAGTACCAACACAAGAAAACAGAACAAAACATAAAACCACCCCAATCCTCCTCCCATAAAAATGGGCAGGGAAAAGAGTGACAACCATGCTACTGGGCAGCTAGCTCAAGGAGAAGCTAATGTCTAGATAGGCAGATCAGGTTCCATCATCCTCACCTTTTTCCTCAAATCAATGAGAAAGCAAAGTATGAACTGCTCCTTCAAGCAGCTAAAAGTTTTAAGAACTAATAATAAAGTAAAATAAAAGGGAAAAGACTTCTATTTATAAGGTTACAATTTTAACAAATGAAAAAGAGATTAAATTTTTTTATTTTAAAGAGATTAAAAGAAAGCAAAACAATAAAAACAAAAGAAAACAAGAAAAACAACATAGGATTAGAAAAGAAAAACATTATAAGATTCCAAAACAATATGATAGGAAAGTAGCAATGGTCACTATATTGGATTCCTTCCTTTTTCTTTTCTATTTCCCCATCCCAGTTGTTCTTTCCTTTTGAGCAGTTTCTTTCCCTTTCAGAGTACCTATTGTACCTTTAGAATCTTATTTACTCTTTCAGTTTCTTATAGGAGGGAGACAATATTATGTTTATATATGTGATTCTGATGTGTTTCACTTATGACTATGATTTCTAGGTGCATCTATTTACCTATAAAAGCCTTGAATTTATCTAAGAAAGATTAAACTTTAATAAACATATTCTACATGTACAATCACATTCTGCTTTTTATAAACCAACCAATAGATAAAAAAACAATAAAACTAGCCAGGTGCTACCAGCCTACCCTCCCAGCACACAGAGGCTGAATTAGAAGAATCACGGATTCAAGACTTCTCTAGACAGCTTAGTGATTTTTGAGACACCTTGTCACAAAATAAAAACTGGAGTAAGGAGGCACTCTGACACTACAAGGAACTGGACCCATGTTCCTTTGTCCTCAGTTCATTGTGCCCTGGATGAAAGATTTCAGGAATGGCCAGGCAGCTATATCACCAGTCACTGAGGTCCATACATACAGGTTACCATGCTGGCTATTGAGTAAACTAAAAAAGGAATTTATTGTGATAATGAGAAATAAGGATTCATTCAAAGGTGGCTCCAAGGAGACAGAGGGGCTTAATCATCCATATCACCATCTTACATCGTACAAATGTGTTAGGGTATTTTAAAGTGGGGAAAAGAAATACAATGGTACAATAAATATTGTCCAGACTGCTTTAATTTCTTCCTAAGCACAGACATCTCTTTATTTTGCTTGTATAAATGAAGGTGAACTTTGATGGAAAGCCTTTTAGAGTTCTGGGTGCTACAAACAGCCCACTACAATATGCATGGTATATTTAGCCACCTCTGACTGTAGCCTGAGGAGAATTGGGAGAGGCAGCTTGAACTCTAGGCCTGAGTAAATTGGAAGAAAGCACTAGTATCTAAAGGAAAAAAAATCTAACTTTTAAAGTTCCATTTTGCTGCATGTTATAGCCACAAAGTAGTACAGATAAAGCTTAGTGGAAGCAGATATGGAGACATTTATACCTTCAAGTGAGAAGATCCACAGTGTCACAAATTCATACTATGTGCAAGATGGATTGCCTTTTTGTGCAAATAAAAATTACTCCTAGATTTCAAGGGAAGCATGGTGACTGATGCTTACTGATCTTTTTTTTAGAGGTTACTTTGGTATGCTAATAACTCAAAAATGCATTCCTTGTTTCTGTCCAGTGGTCAGTGTTTCCTTATGAGCCTTAATCATAAAAAATTTACCAAGGAAATTTAAATCAGGTCTAACTCCAAGGAGAAAGGATCTTTAAAGAATGCCCTCTTTTAGAATTTTTTTCTTTCATCTTTTTTGAGATGGTTTTCACTGTTGGTTTTGGCTGATCTTACTCTCAGTTTGTAGCCTAGGGTGGCTTCAAACTCACCACAATGCTTATGGGTCAGCTTCCTGTGTGCTGAGATTACAGGCATGTGCCACCAAACCTGGCTTCCTTTTGGAAATAGGATAAATAAATCAGAAGAAGTGTAAACAGTGTGAAACTTTAAAATGTCATTGTGCTAAGTGGAATTATTTTGAATGTAAGACACAACAAATAATAATTAAAGATATACTATTTATTTAAATCTGTTTCTTTACTTCAAGATAACTGGTAAAGTATGTTACTTTTCAAGCCCTTCCCTTTGCTCCTTAGGCCTGCTACATACCTAACATTCATCAAAAATGTTTTTAGAAAAAGGTGCTAATTGCTTCCTGTGTTTCTATATTATAGGGCATAATTTAACTTCAGCAATTGCTAAAGTCCACCAATTTATCAAAATTCATGGAATTGATCATACTAGAGCTTACCTTACTTATAGTAACACAAGTATTCCACTAAATTCATTAGTTGTCTATATTTTTTAAATTTAAAAACAAAAAGCATAAAAATGATGGTACAATATTTCAAAACAACAATAGGAGATTAACACTGGTTAATATATTGTATATTGTTATCTTAAAGTAGTTTTTCAGATTACAAGATATAGCCATAAAAAAAGGATCAAACACTAGAACAATGAAAGCATAAAATGTTCTTTTTGATGAACTAACAGAGATTAGTAGTATAATTTTATATCTTGTATATATAATCTTTAAAAGATAATTAAATACAATATGAATAAACTGGATAACTGTGTCCTTAACTACATTTCCTGTAGTCACTGTACTCACTGTTAAAATGTTCTATATTGCTCATAAATGCTCTTAACACACAATATAGAATCAATTAAAGTTCAAATAAACTTTGAGCACTTACAAAACAGCTACATTAAATGGGACTCCATTTACCATGAGTTAAATAGCTAATATGGAGACTGGACTCTGCAGGTTTCAAGGGTTGGCTGTGTCAGGCCCAGCAACCTTCTTTCAATTCGGGAAACCAGGGCTGCCGGAGGTCCCAGTGCAAGCCTGGGAAGAGTTTAGGATCATCGTTCCCAGCGGTTAAGTGCTCGCTCAGCTTCCAGCCACAGCAGACTGGGCTTTGCAGGTTTACCAGCCTGGCTGGGCCATGCCCAGGGACCTTCCTTCAATCCGGAGATCAGGGGCTCCCCAAGGTGAGTTCCAGCACACCAACACAGGCCCGGGGTGAGTTTGGGTGAGTTTAAGATCATCGCTCCCAGTGGTTAACTGCCTGACCAGCTTCCAGCCACACTAGATTGGGATTGGGAGGTTTGGCGGGCTCAACTAGACCACATCCAACCATCTTCTTCAATCAGAGGAGCTGAGGGCATGGAAAGTGAGTTTCTGGGCATCAGTGCTTGCCCCAAGACAGCTTTGGACCATCACCCACAGTGGTTAGGAACCCACACAGCTCCCAGGAACACCAGAGAAGGCACAGGAGGTCCTGTGGGCTTAACTGGACTGCGCTCAGTAACCTTCATTCAGTCCCAGGAGCCCAGGGCATAGGATGCGATTTCCAACACACCCAGGGAAAGCTATGGTACATCATTTCAAACACAGAAATATAGGAAAATGACAAGATGAAAGATGAAAATGCAATCTCATACCTCCAGCGCATGCCAAGAAAGCCTAGGAGCCATGTTCATAGAAGAAAATATATGCCGTACACCTGAAATAATAGCAACTCCAGGAAGTTTTAAAGGAATTCAAATTAGAAATAATCGCCCAAGCAAAAGAAGAAAAGATAAAAGTAACGGAAGAAATGTTGAACATATCTAAAAAAGACATAGTTAAATAATTAGAGGAACAAAGCAAAAAGATAGAATCCCTGGATGAACAATATAAGAAACAAACAGAATACATGAAGCAGATTCAAAGAGATATATAGGAAATCGAATATTCTGTTGAAAGTTGTAAAAACCGCCTCAACGAAAGCGAAGATAAAATTTCAGACTGCAAAGACAATATTGCAGATAGTGAAAAGGAAAGTTCTATTAAAAATAACAAGGAATCAGGAAATAAAAATTCAACAGCTGCAAGATCATGTAAAGAAAAACATAAAACTGATAGGGAAAAATGAAAAATAAGGGGGCAACACAAATGATGTGAAGAGGTTATTTACAGAAGTAATAGCTGAAAATTTCCCAAACATGAGAATGGAAACAGACATACAGATTAGTGAAGCATATAAAACTCCAAATAGCCATGACCAAAATAAAACTACACTCGGACATATAATAATCAACATCCCAGACATCCAACATAAGAATAGAATATTAAAAGCTGTTAGAGAAAAAAGACAGATCACCTATAAAGGAAAACCTATCAGAATCACAGTAGACAACTCAGCACAAACAATAAAGTCAAGAAGAGCATGGAAGTATTTCAGATCCTAAAGGAAAACCACTTCCAACCTAGACTGATGTACTCTGCAAACTGTCATTCAAAATGGATGGAGAAATAAGATACTTCCTTGTCAAAGA